TCTGAGTTCCTCAGTGATTTCCTCAGCTCAGGAAATCTAACTTCCTCAGCTGAGGAAATCACCGAGGAAGCCACTTACGAAAGCAACCGAGGAAATCCGCTTACCTCAGCTGAGGAAACGGCCGAGGAAATTTGATTTCCTCAGAACTTTCCCCATTCGAGGAAATCAGGTTTCCTCGGCCCGGGAACGTACTGAGGAAATTGAATTTCCTCCGTCGTTTTCCTCAGCTATTTCCTCAGCCAGGGAAATATGCTTCCCCCGATGTGTTTCTATGTGCCCCATAGTAAACGATTCACGGAGTCGAGACGATTCAAGTGTGTGTGTTGGTTAGCTGGGGCGAAAAAGTTCCATCGGGAAAGACTATCATTGTCATCAAGCCATCGAACCGCTAGGCCAGACGCCTGTGTGTGGTGTCTACACTCAAGGTGGTTAGTGACATCGGAAACATATGTAGGGAGAGAGATATCTCTTGGGGTCGCACAAGAAGATGGAAATAAAAAGATAGACGTTCAACTTCTCACTCACCAAGCTGTCAAACCGCTAGGCCAGACGCCTGCGTGTGGACTGGGGGTTTCCGATTGGATGTCTAATAGGTATAGTAAACGAAGTAGAGACGATCCTCTAGGCTGAATACCACCGAAAAAGTTGCCTCGGGAAAGCATGTATGAAGACGCCGACTTGGGGTGGAAAGTCCATGATATCAAAAAAGGCTGCACGGAATTGGATTATCAAGCTGTTCAACCGCTAGGTCAAATGCCCGCGTGTGGACTGGGGATTCCGATTGTAAGCATCGGGAAAGTATGTAGGGAGAGATCGTACACACCATTTGCTGACTTGGGGTTCATCGACGATTAAAAAAGCCTGTCTTTCAAGTTGCCATCAAGCCGCCGAACCGCTAGGTCAGACGCCTGCATGTTCCGTAGGTTCATGATTTGTTTGAAGGAACAGTTCGGAGTGCTGGATCCGCTTCACTTGGCGATATCGCGTGAAAGTTCATAAAGAAGACAATCGAGCACTCTGCTAGAAGCATAAAAAGTTTCACTTTGACTATGCTTAGCGCCAATGCATCCGCTAGGATACACCGGCGTGCGAAGAGTACTGCTTAGGGAGAAAGAACAAGAAGCATCGGTAGTGAAATTGTCAACGGACCTCGGATCCCTAGCACTCCGTGCAAATTTCATGAAGACGCTCGAGTGTACAAGTGAGAGGCATGAAATCGCGCGCAAAAGAGAGAACACGCCCCTCGAGTGGAACCGCTTAGGTTTGAGTCTTGACGGCGTATGCCAGTGGAACTATTGAAGATGTAGGAAATAAAAAAGACAGTGGAGCCCATTCACGAATTCGAGGCATACGACCAGTGGGTCATACGCCGCGGTCGAGAAGAAGGGACTTACCATCTGGCATGCGAAAGAGTTTAATTGCAGGCTGCATACCTAGGAAGCGCATCAAGTCACAAAAAGATTGACCAAACGTATAGCCGTTGTAACACCCATGCAACCACTAAGCTACATCGGCGTGGCAGCCTACAGTTCATGGTTATCTCGGCAGGCCTTGGGTCTTGCAGTGCGTGACGCGAGGCGCTTGTTTGATTGTGGAAAGTTTGATTGAGAAAGGGAACGAGACAAGGGACATCAGGAAGTTCGGAGGCTCATAATTAGGCATAATCAGTGTAAGTGCGTAATTCGGTGTAAAAAAAATCATGATTTTAGCTGTATTATGCCTGATTACACGATTACGGCTCAATACGCACTTACAGGATTACACCATGTAGACTGTGTGCACAACATGATACCATTTACAGTAACAGGAAGAACGAAAGTTGAGAACCGGTATTGACCTCCGATGCAGGCTTAACGTGTCCCCAGTAAACAGCCGGGAAGCAGCCCCGACCCGGAGGCAGTACTAGATGGAGAAAGCAGCATTTCCTTGCAGTAGCCAGGATCCACTGTCCAGTCACGAGGCAGACATGACCATTGAGTGCAAGAGGCAGAACATGTACGATTGGAACAGGATGAGGGTGAGGGCGCCGACTTGAACGTTTTGATTGATTGATTGGTGTGCGTGATGATGTCATCAATCACGCCATGTTGGTTTCAAATTTTTCGAAGTCCGCCAAGTCGCTCTTTACCTGCTGCCAGCTCCATCTCCTTCCGGGTCGTTTATCTGGCCGCCCCTCCTTGGTCGATGGGGTGGATCGACTTCAAGGACCACGGACTTTTAGCCTCTAGGAGCCGCAAGACCACGACAGCCAAGGCGTAACGAGCACACCTATGGCGATCCAGGACTAGCGAGGACTGCGAGGACCACGGCGATGCGTGCGAGAACCACAGCGATGCGTGCGAGGATCACAGCGATGTGTGTACGAGGACCACAGCGATGCGCGTACGAGGACCACGGCGAGGCGCGTACGAGGACCACAACGAGGCGGGTACGATTTTGGTATTGTCCTTGGACGCGATTAGTGTCTTGGATAGAATTCTGAACGCAGTCAAAGTGCAATGAGAACGAGGGTTAGCGAGGACCCCTGAAAATGCCTACAAGAGGTTCGATCCCAAAATGGGTGTTTTTGGCCTTTCGAAAATGGCCGATTTTCGTCATTTTTGGCCTTTTAGATCGGACCTCCACGTTTTTGGCCCTCAATGCCGAGATGCCGTCCAAATTTTTGCCGCGCGCCCAAGAGGCGCGAGGGCGGCCCGCCGCCGACTAGCCATATATAGACTGTCACGTGGTCCGTATTCTGGAAACACTCATTTTTGGCTCAAATGGGATCCAACATAGCGCGTCAAAGGTGCTCAGATTTGGCCTTTTGGATCATACATAAATCTCAAAATCGGGCTGATTTGGCTTTTTTGGATCGAACCTCTTGTAGGCATTTTCAGGGGTCCTGGTTAGCGGCAAAGGGCGTGTGACTGATTGCGTCACGTCACCCATCCACCTTGCCTTTTGCCTTTTCCCTTCTCAGCTCTTGTCCTTGCCTTGTTCCCTCTCGCTCTCCCTTGGTCCTTACGCGTGCGGAAAAATCTTGTAACGCGGCGTTACTATGACTTGGACATGGACTCAGGGTCCGGGCATTTGTCTTGTCTCTCGCGCGCGCTTTGACCAGGACAATGGAGGGTCCCCACGCTCTGGTCAATGCAGCGGGGGGTATAATAGCTGGACGGGTGTTGGGATACTTTAATTTTTTCCCCGCTTGATATCGCACGCCCAGCATACACAACCTGGTATGCGCGTTTTTGGTTCGCCTGGGATTTAGGCGTGTGCTGATTAGCTGCTAGATATCGGAAATGCCCAGCTATTCAGCCAACGAGGCCAAAGTACGTGGTGCCACTCGTCGTGTTCTTCGCACTCACGTTTCGTGTAGGTGCCATACCCCACCCCCTCTGCATCTCCACCACCCACTCTCAAACGCAAACGTCCCTCCTCCCCCGCTCCACCCAACAAAAAAGCACGGACATCACCCGCAGGCATCTCGCACATCCTCCAGCGCGAATTCGAGGCGCATCTCCGCGGGGACAGGTACAAAGCCAAGTACCATGCCGGGCGCTCGAAGAGTCAGGCTCTCCTACACGAGAACGATGTCCTCTTAAAGCGTGTTAGGGAGTCGGAGGAGTTGGAGGGGCAGGTTGAGGTGCTTCGCGCGAGGAACGAGGAGGCGAGGAGGACGAGTGAGGCGGTGCATGAGCAGACGACGAGGGATATTGTGGAGGTATGATATCCGTTTATTCCTCGTCTTTTCTTCGTTGTCCTGAGCTTGATGTTTCAGGCGAGGGAGGCAGCGAAGGAGGCACGACGACAGGCGGAAGAGTATGAGAAGAGGGTTAGATGTGATGCGGAGGAGTATAGGGAGAGGGTAAGACGTGATGCGGAGGAGTATGGGGGGAGGATAAGACGTGATGCGGAGGCGTATGTCCGGGAGCATGCACAGACGGTTGTGCACGCGGCTCCAGACGACGAGCAGCTTCGTCAGTCTCTCGCCCAGCTTCAAGCACACAACGACTCCCTCACCTCCTCCCTCTCCACCACCTCTTCATCGCTCTCCTCTGCGCAACAAACCATCGCCTCCTTCTCCTCTTTTCTCGAGACGATCCAAGGCAGATACACGCGCGCGATCCACGCGTTTGCGGTGCACTTTTACATAAAGTACCCGATGGACTGGGAGAGGATTGTCAGAAACTTTAGGCCGCTGGCGGAGGCGCTCGTCGTCGGGAGCGTGTCGGAGGCGTATCAGCATCCGCCCGATGTGAGGTGGGATGTCAAGCCGGATAGGGGAGAGGAAGAAGAGGAGGAGACGACGCTTGAGAGGGCGGAGGGTGGTGTTGAGGAGGAGGAGGGAGAGGAGGAGATGGAGGAGGATGAGGAGACGGTTTTCGCAGCCACAGTCCTCGTTCGTCCAGCCTCAGCCCGCGCCGGGCACGACGTATGATCGGGCAAGAGACCCGAGGTTGAGCAAGGCGGCTGATAGTTTTTTGGATGATATGGCTGGGATGTTGCCTGGGTTTGGGCAGCAGCAGTCTGCTTCTGGGTCTGGATTTCGACAGCAGTCTTCCTTTGCAGCGCCGTCCGCTTTTGGACAGCCTGCGTCTACTTTTGTCGCTCAGCCGGTGCCTACACCTTCGTCTTTTGGCCAGCCATCCATGACACCGGCATTTAGCGCTCCATCCTCCACGTCTGCTTCTGTCGCCCAGCCGGCACCTGCTCCCTCAGCGTTTGAACGGTACACTGCGGGCGCTGCGTCGGCGTTTTCCTCTCAGGCTGCACCTACAAAGCCGGCTCCTTCTCCCGAAACCCCAGTCCAGCGCCAGCCGAATAGTAAGGAGTATAATACCTCGGGGTATGCGACAGAGTAGAACAGATTCCTGCTACTTTAGATTTCTCGTATAGTGCTGTGCTGTCGTTTTGTTGCTCTATTGATTTTGTCTGTGTTGTGGTTTCTGCTTTACTTCGCTGTGGGATTGAAATCGGAGACGAGGAGGAGGAGGAGGAGGGAACACCAAGTGTATGGGGACATAGCTCAGTTGGGAGAGCAACAGAATGAAGTGTCGTAGCCACGTATGGTGTTCTGGAGGTCCCCAGTTCAATCCTGGGTGTCCCCATCAACCTGGTTCAACCTATTTTTTTACTTTTGCGAAATAGGGTCTACCGGCACATGATGTGGCGCAGTCCTCGTCCTCATTTCGCTACTCTCAGCTTCTCTCTGGCTACTGCAATGCGACTGAAGGCGCGACTCGGAGAAGCGAAAGATGGGGGATACTGATGCGAAATTAGAGGCTCTTCAACATGCAAGAAAGGGTGCTGTATCGGGGACATAGCTCAGCTGGGAGAGCAACAGACTGAAGTAGAGAAATATACGCGTATCCTATGTGTTCTGGAGGTCCCCAGTTCAATCCTGGGTGTCCCCATGCGCTTTCTCTTAATGGCCTTTTCCGTATTTCTGAAGCAGAGCGGGGTTGTTTTTGCATCTTTTCGATTAATCGTCAACGGAGATTTCGAGACTCGGGATTCGGGCCGCACCGATCATCGTCTGATCCTCCTCTCTTGCTTGCGACCATCACTGCGTTCTTGGTTCTTGTTTTTATTTATTGCCAGCTAGGATAGGAACGGCGGCATCGACTACACGACGGAGCAAGGACATATACGCTGGATGGTGCAGCACACGATCAAGGTCGTCGTCATCGGGGCGTCGGGGGTGGGCAAGACGAGTCTGCGGAGTCAGGTGTGTGTGTGCCCTCAGCTCTACTAACGCACCGTGAAGCTGACCCCCGTGATAGTACATCACCTCGCGGTTCTCGACTGGATATCGGGCGACTATCGGTGCTGATTTTATTAGCAAGACTATCACCGTCCCAGGGGCTGAACAAGACCAAGTTGTATTGCAGATTTGGGTGCGTCGTCTCCTCCGTCTCTAATCGCAAAGGCTGACATGAGACAGGACACAGCCGGGCAAGAACGCTTCTCGTCTTTATCTACCGCCTTTTTCCGGGGCGCGGACGCGGTGGTGATGGTGTACGACGTGAACCGGCCCGAGACGCTGCACGAGCTCACGCGGTGGTGGGCGGTGTTCAAGGAGGGCGCGGACTGGAGTGAGGAGGCGGGCAGGCGGCGGGGCAGGGCGGTGGTTGTGGGGAATAAAGTCGATTTGCTTGGGCAGGGAGAAGGGAGGGTAGAGGAGAGGGACGGAGAGGAGTTTGTCAAGGAGCTGCTGGGGCTTCCCGCACATGAGAGAGCGGAGAGCGGGAGTGGGTGGTCGCATCGTGCGCAGGCGTCGTCGGGCTCTTCGGGGAAAGCGCCTACACCGCCATTGGAGATTACCCCCACCATCACGCCTCAGATGCGCTCCCCCAGCGCGTCGATGCGCTTCGGGACTGTGACGACGACGCACACTACGACGCTGACCATCTACCACACCCCGTCCTCCTCATTCGACGACAGCGACAGCGTCTACTCGGCGTACACAGCCCGCGAAGCGAGTCTGCTCACGCGGAGCAACTCGCCGTCCTCCATCCTCGCGTCATCATCCCGCATCCGATCCTCCTCCTCCTCACCCCTCCGAAACGTCTCCCCCTCGTCGCTCTTTCCAAAGCGGACGCCGAGTCTCGCGACGATCACGCCCGAGGTGTATCACCGCGCGCACCACGCGAAGAAGGACAAAGACAGACACACCCCGCATTTCCTCGCCTCGGCCAAGTCGGGTGTGGGCGTCGCAGAGGTGTTTGAGTATCTCGCGGCGCATGCGCATGAAGCCTCGGAGGAGGATAGGCAGTTGGGGTACGCGGAGGCGGGGAGGGAGTCGTTTATCGATGTTGGCACGACGTTGAGGGTTAGCGGGGCGAGGAGGAAGAGGCATGGCGGCGGGAGGGGTGCTGCGTGTTGTTGACAATGGCGGGTGTTCTACTTATTATTCTTATGGTGTTCGGTTCGATTCGGTATTTGTTATACTTATTTATGCGGTATACCCCGTTGTTGGATGACATTGATAAAAAGCAATGAAAGGCTTCCGGGATGGTCGGTCAAAAAGGAGTGCATCTAGCTCGCATGGGGACACCCAGGATTGAACTGGGGACCTCCAGAAGAATCATGTAGCTACTTCAGTCTGTTGCTCTCCCAACTGAGCTATGTCCCCGAGTTGCAGGCCTACTCCTCCCCCCATCCGCGGGATATCCATTACAGAGCGTGTTTTCGTTGAGACTGCTGCCAACGAAATGCTGCCCACCCGACCTTGTTCTGTGTGCAAAGTCCACGTTGAATGCAGCGTAGGAGTAAAGAGTTGTTGATCTAGGAATGGAGTTTACCCTCAACGACCTTGGTAAGGAAAACAAAAAGATTCACATTGGGAAGTACTTAGCATGTATGTTCACGTTCTTGCCGCTCGGGTAAGATGGAGCGAGAGTCGATGAAATCCCTGGATGTATAGATTGCTATGATCTATCATTGAAAAAAGTGCACGAGAGCCGTTCAAGAACCAAAAAATCATTCAAGAAATGTCGGATGGGGACACCCAGGATTGAACTGGGGACCTCCAGAATACACAAACGTTCCGTCTTCAGTCTGTTGCTCTCCCAGCTGAGTTATGTCCCCGATACCTCCTCCTCCCGCCACCCATTTCTTTCCTTCCATCAACGCTTTATGGGTGGGGCACAATGAATGAATGAATGGACTACCCTTCCTCATCCCCAATGCAGCAGTCCCCGCAGCACGAGACACCCAGTCGGTAACATCGCGGTCCATCCGATGATCCATGTCATCCATCTGCTCAAATCTCGGAACAGAACAGAAGACGCGCGTCAGAATCGCCGTTCCAACAGATGAACACGCGTGGAACTGTTCGTCCAGTACCCGTGAAACGAGATGTGGACGCGAAGACAGGATGCCGACACTAGGGATGCCAGTGTGAGGTAGGGTATTTGGCTAGCTTTTCTCTATGGTTATGAGCCTGAGCATCCGAGTTCCATGCCACGCCTACTAGTAGCAAGCTAATATATTTAGGTTCCCGCTCAGGCTTTCTTTGGAGGAGATATGTACGCTTCGTATTTCCGGTCGTACAGACACAGGTGATTGATTCTCTTACCCGCAGATTCTGTCAGGTTCATGGTCAAGTTCGCCACGGTCAATTGTTTTCAGACTGGCACCATTATCTCGACCCAAGGAGCTTGAAAGGAAAGACAAATGTTCGTCCGTCCTAGTGCAAGTACAAGGCTCGGACTGCGTATTCAATGAAAATATCCGCTGGCGTCTCTCTAGGATTTTTCACAGCGACGTGATTACTTTCTTGGGCTCCTCGCTTGGAAGTTGCTACTCTTTTCTCAAGAGATGGTTAGTAGAACACCCTTGATATCGTCTCGCTTCTAGTACACACTGGCACTGATTGCCTCAACTGTCCGCCATCCCGAATCCACAGCGTCGCGAATGAGGGTGCGTTATCAGATCCAGACTCGGTATGTCGGTATGTAGTATTGTTCGAGGGTCCCTTTCTTCTTGATGTCAAGCCTCGTCTCTCTACGCTGGAATGCTAGCTTGTCTGGAAGGCTGCCGCCGGTAATGGTACAGTATCTACGTCGTCAACTTGAATTCTGTCCTATCTGCGGACATCCAATGGCGCTATGAGTCGCTCGAAGGAAAGACAAGCGTCCTTCCGTCCATTCTGCTGTCTCTGGAGTCTGGAGTATTTCCGGAGGATCCGCTAGATATTCCAATGCTACCCGCGCAAACCATGCCCTGGGGCCTGGAAAGGAAACTGGAACCTTTTACGCTTACTTGCCCCGACACCCGAGTCGTATCCCGGTAAGTAATGGTTGTATTGCACGTTGGTCACGAGCGTGGGAGACGCGTATGGCTGGAGTCGCTTAGGTTCTTGGTATATGTTCAAGAGGGCGGACTGTATTGTCCAAGTGCAATTCTAATGAGCTGTCAGGTTCTTATCAACTACCACCATGGCTTGGAGCATGAAACCCGAAAACGTATTGACCGGTAACTCGACTCAGAAACGTGCGCGGATAATCGGGTGCCGACTGAATGACATGCGAAAGGCGGAGAAGCATACGGGATTCTGCATACTGCGATAACAAACATTCAGGACTCAGGAATTGAGACGAGATTTCCAAGGCTCATTTGTATGGCATGCACAATTCAGGACTAATTAACAAGGAAGCCGAAGAATGCGTTCCCTACCCTGCGCAACGACGTGGTAAGAAAGAAGCCTGAGGTGATTAGCGGGTGTCGTGTAACTTCTTGCTGTGAATCCATGTGTGCGTTAGTGTGCTACGGTTGAAAAGTACAAAGAGTTCGGGTACGGAGAAAGGGCGGCGAGGCTGAGACGCGATCGGGTGACTATAACTGGAGTGTCGCAATGTCATCCGTACGTAGCTCGCCTAGAGTTACTTGTGGCATTCCGCTTTCGCATGGACCCACGGGAGGAAGGACTGCCGCTTCGACGACAAGCCCACTCGTCCATCAGCGCCCAGCCCACCACTCGCTGGTCATCTGCATACCCCAGTTATGAGCCTGAGCGATACCCGGACGGGCACCGACCGGCACTAACCTGTTTCCCGACTCCCGAGACATGGCACGCACAATCAACGAAGGCTGTTTCCCGAGACATGCTACGTTTGAGGGTAACGAAACATGCGTCATACGTGTATTGACAAGAGAATAGTGGCGCCATCCTCTCCGTAGACACGCACAAGACCGGATGTGGATTTGGAAATCTCCCCATGGGCAAGGGCAGTCGAGAGCGAGAGGCTAGAACGGGGAAAGAAAACGCGGGGAGGGAGGGGGTGCGAATGAATTGGCAGCTGCGACAAGCCAGGGAAGGAGACTGATATATCCGGATGGTGATGATACTTACCTCGATTCGCGTGCGAGGCGGGATCAGGCTGTGTGCTAATAGCAAGTACATCCGTCCAGAACAAGACGAGGTAGACGGGAGCGTAAGGTGAGAGTTCTTCGGATACCCCGCTTTCGAAGCCGCACATGATGCGGGGGTTGGAAATTTTCTTAGCCACTCTTCTATGCCCGATCATGTGGGGGAAGCAATCATTATTACGTTACGTTACCGCCGATATTAAAACCCCCACACTCGTTCGATTTCCTTGTGCTTTCTCCCACCTTCTCCTTCCCCCTAATCTACCGTCCTTACTGCACGATAATAGGTAGATCTTCGTCCGCCCTCGTCGAAGGACTGACTGACGTCTAGCACTACTAGTGAACGATGTCTGGCGATCTCGAGAAAGGTTCCTCCGCCCTGCAGGCCAACGCCCCGCCGACGCTCGCGGAAAACACGGAGTACAGCAACGCGGCGCACCACGGCTTGGGGCACTACACGAACACCACGCTGCACACGCCGCGCCCGTCGAAGATTGGGAACCCAGGCAGCCTCGGCCTCTTCAGCTTCGCGTCCACCACGTATGCCCCCATCCCATCTCGTGCTCCTCTCGACTTAGCTTTTTTATTTTGGCAGATTCATGCTATCGATGTACAACGTCAACGCGCGCGGGATCCACACGCCCAATGTTGTGGTGGGCATGGCCGTGTTCTGCGGTGGCCTCGCGCAGCTCCTCGCGGGCATGTGGGAGTTTCCTCGGGGAAACACTTTTGGCGGAACTGGTGAGTCGAGTTCGGGTTCGGTTTCCCCTCATATCGTCCGCTGTCACTCAGCCTCCGATTACCCCATCCTGGTTGCCTGGCGCGCGTTCCCCCGCATTCATTCATTTCCAATTTCATATTCCTCCGCATGCACTTGCGCTGATGATGACTTGTTCTCGTGTTTCCTTTTTTTCCCACTGAAAGACACGGACTTGACTTGCTTACTGATATCGTTTCCCATGACAGCGTTCAGCTCGTACGGCGCGTTCTGGATGTCCTACGCCACCATCCTTATTCCCAACTCTGGCATTCTCGCCGCATACGAGACGGAGCCCGAGTCCCTCGCTGATGCGCTTAGCATCTTCTTGTTCGCTTGGATGATTGTTACTGCCATGTTCCTGTACGTGATCTTCTCGCGTCCTATACTCTTATCATTAACTCGTCTCCCACAGGATCGCCTCGCTTCGCAAATCTGCTGCATTTATAGCACTATTCGGATTCCTTACCCTCACCTTCATGCTCCTCGCCGTCGGGGAGGCCGGCGCCCACGCTAATGTCACCAAGGCCGGTGGCGCGTTCGGTATCATCACCGCCTTTATCGCGTACTATATCGGGTTAAGCGAGCTCTTGAACGCGGAGAAGAAGGCCGTTGTAGCGCTGCCTTTAGTTCCCTTCTAGCTGACGGGTTGTATTTATCTCGTTCTCTCCCTTTGCACGTACCTGTATGTTCCATTTCGCTATTACCCTCTGTGAATCTATATCCCGTTGCATCGCATTGATTACTATTGTTGGAATAGCAGACGTGATGAACATTCTTCTAAAGTTAGGGATGGCCGGGGACCTTTGATGTCGTGTTGATCGCATTTCTCCGGGCTTGTGGGTGCGCGTTCGCTCCTAAGTGTCTGTATTCGGGTACGGTTCGCGCGCTTCTGGGACAAATGGCCTGGCAGTCGTGAGATTAAGGTGTGTCTTTGAATGTTCCGAGTTTGGGAAGGAAGGCGAGAAGATGACATTGACAGGGTGGAGGGGTAGGCACTTGAATGGCGATTCTGACGCGCGTCTTCTGTTCCGAGATTTGAGCAGGTGGATGACATGAATCACGGACCGTGATGTTTCCGACTAGGTGTCTCGTGCTGCGGGCACTGCTGCTTGGGGATGAGGAAGGGTGGCGTTATCAGTCCATTCATTCATTGTGCCCCGTGTGGACTCTCCGTTGGTGGAAAGAAGGACAAGGGTGCCGCTCAGGAGGAGGTATCAGGGATGTAGCTCAGTTGGGAGAGCACCAGACTGAAGTGTATGAAGCTACTCTTGTTTTCTGGAGGTCCCCAGTTCAATTCTGGGTGTCCCCATACAACTGTTCCAGGAAACTTTTCTTTTACCAGAGAACCTCTATTATGTGAAGGTCCGGTAGACTTTAAATTTACGCCACACTGCGCGCAGTAGTTGAATAACGCCACTGGGACGTAGAGAAAGAGAGGCCCTGCGTTGTTTTGATTGGAGGTTAAGTCAGTCCCAGCCTGTATCGCGTCAGTGTCCTAGCACACCGTCCCAGCGTTGTCACATCGTCGCCCCAGCTCGTCGAGATGAGTCCATGTGCACTGCGTCACAGCCATTGTCATCAATGCGCGTCGAAATGAGAGCATTGAATCCTTGTAGAGGGCTGGTAGAGGGTGAAGAAAACCGTTCTCATTATGAGTAGAAGAATCCCCTTGCATCCAGTCACACTCGGTGTCTAGTGTACGGAGGAACACGCTGGCTTTGATCTACCATTTGAGACCTGTTCTGGCGAGATATCATAGCTCTAACGGAACTACGCAGCTCGTTCTCATCGACCGCGAAACATACGTGTTGAACTTGATGTATCTCCTGCAAACGAGGGCACCTGAATATATTAGCTTGCTCTCGCGCAGGCAGATAAACAATTCAAGGCCTAGAAGACTTGATAATTTCTTGATACATGGAGCATCTACACATGGAACCATGTTCGTCAAAAAGGAGGCTTATGACGGTAGAGTCGTAGCGGGTCGGCGACGTGGCTCGGATATATCCGGAGTATCTTTTCCCGCACCATCAGCCATAAACGTACTGTACTCTGGATTCCAGGCCGCCATGCTGATGTGACTTAGTGGTTGCATTAGGTGTCCATGAAACTGTGTCAATGCATAGGCTCTTTTTTGTTTCCTAGGTCTTCTCTGCCTGCTGTATAAACCTGGAACGACTACACCTATCATGGCGATTGCTCTAGTGCCATATCTAACTTGCCATCAACCTGAGCGCGGACTGCGACGTGTTCCGCTCGAGGCGTGTTGCTTAGCTGTTCCGCGTCCTATCGACTCTTCCCAGCTGTCTTCTTTGCTTTTTTTGCATGCCTCTGACGGCGTCCACTGCTATCTCTCCCTCAGGCTGTACACTCGAGGCGCATCGCTTACCGGTAGCGCGTCTCTATGAATAATCGCGCGCGGAAAATTGTTTTGGATTATGTTGTCAGTCGAACAACTGATCACAATGCGTTTCCTATTTTCAGTCGAAGAACTGATCAGAATGTGTTTCCTTATGTTCTCCACGACTCGGGAATTCACGAGACCTGCTCAACTCTGGCTCTTTCCTTGTTTCTTGTGCTTTCTCCCATAATGACTAGGTGGTACTTAGTCTACGCACGCCGGTGTATCCTAGCAGATGCATTGGCCCTAGGGATTAAAGCTGTGAAATCTTTTTATGCTTGTCGCTAGTGGCCGCATGTTATCGTTTTGCTTGCTGTCTAAGTGTCTTCTATGTCGTTCTGATCTTCATGACTCAACGGAGCCTCTGTCAAATTGGGATTCGCGCGACCCTCTTGTCTTCAAGCGGGACCCCAGTTTTCCTTGCTCAAGACGTGTGGCTTAGTGGTAGCGCGTCCTTCTGGCCTATCGAGGTGCAGTTTTTTGATATAGATTCTGGTCGAATGCTGACAGTGACATGGTGGATAGTCCTAAACGAAGTGTCAGTACAGCAGCCTGGCATGAAGGTCAAGACCTGCTTAGACTTCTTGTTGAAATGGCGGCGCGCAAGATCCTCGTGAATGTGCTCGGAAATACCCGGAGGCTCTTTTCCCGCAACGTCCACCGTAAACCTGCTCTGGAGTGTAGCCTGCCACGCCGATGGGGCTTAGTGGTTCCATTCGGTGTTTAAGGTATTGACGTGTTAGTAACATTTTTAGGACTACCGGGCAGTAGGCGTGTGACTGTACGTTTTCGCATGTATGGTATCTTGCTTTCTAGGTTTTCTCTATAACGTGGATTTCTCTGCCACAACCGGACCTGGATGTACGTACACCTTGGCAATTGCTTCTCCTAACTCATCACTAGCCACAGACATATGACTCATCGGTATGCTTGCAATTGAGAGAAAGGTTGCCACCTTGGTTTTTTCTGTTTCCTCGCGTGCCTGTCTACCTTCGGGCGGGAAGGATGGCGCCACCATTCTCTTGCATATGATGCATGTTTCGTTACCGCCGCTAGGCCTCAAGTCTCGGGAGTCGGGAAACAGCCTTTGTTGATTGCGCCAGGTTAGTGCCGGTGCCCGTCCGAGTATCGCTCCTCATAACTGGGGTATGCAGGAGTGGTGGGCTGGGCGCTGATGGACGAGTGCGCTTGTCGTCGAAGCGGCAGTCCTTCTCCCGTGGGTCCATGCGAAAGCGGAATGCCACAAGTAACTCTAGGCGAACAGGTGTCCTCTCGGCTGTCCGCGGATGACTTTGCGACACTCAAGCTATGACCTCCGACACGTCTCAGCGTCCGCCGCCCGCGATCATCAATACGCATCCGTTCCTTCTTCTCCTTTTCGTGTCTCAACCGTAGCACACTCACGCACACATGGATTCACAGCAAGAAGCACGACACCCGCTAATCATCTCAGGCTTCTTTCTCGATGCGTGGCAGGGAACACATTCTTCGGCTTCCTTCTGTATCAATTAAACCTGAATTGTGCATGCCATCCAAACGAGCTCTACTTAAGAACCTGTGCCGTCTCGTCTCGATTCCTGAGTACCGAGTCCCGAATCATTGCTCAGACTCAGAGTTTGTTATGGTCCTGCCACCACATTCGACCTCTCGCTGTATGTATCCCGTATGCTTCTTGACCGGTGACCATCCGCGCACGTTTCTGAGTAGAGTTACCGGTCAATACGTTTTCGACCTTTAGGCTGGTGGTAGTTGATTAGAACCTGACAGCTCATTAGGATCGCCTCACCTCCGAACTTGGACCACACACGCACCCGCACGTCTTGAACATTATACCAAGCATTGCAAGAACCTAAGCGACTCCAGCCATCTCCCACGCTCGTGGCCAACGTGCAATACAACCATTGCCTTTTCCTTACAGTCGTTCACTCGGGAGCCGGAGGAAGTAAGCGTAAGCGTAAACGTTGCAGTTTCCTTTCCGGGGGTGGTCTGCGTCAATGAAAGGGGGTAGCATTGGAATAACTAGCGGATCCCTCCGAGTCTTCCAATGGCGATAAGTACTTACCCATGTCCAGACAGCGGCATGGACCTGAGGAGATAGTGCCAGTGGAACAGAATGTGGATTTCCGCAGAATTGACGACGTAGATACTGTACCATTACCGGTGGCGGCCTTCCAGACAGGCTAGCATGCCAGTATAGAGCAGTCCAGATCGGTGTAGAGAGATAAGGCTTTACTGTAATAGTAGGAGATTAGAGTCTAGCAACGACATCAAGAAGAATACTACCCGCGCAGCGCATCGCCAAGTCTAGGTCTGATAACGCACCTCTCATTCCTGAGTGGATTCGGGATTGCGGACACGCTACTACGGGGCTTGAGGTAATCAGCCTCGGAATGAGAGACGGGAGCGAGTGCGCGAGGACTTACGACGCTTGGGTAACTAGTAGTGGTTCAGCGCTTCGCAGCCGCTCCTTGCTAGTGTTATTGTAGCACCCAACGCAACTACTCCTCTGAAGACACGACATCGATGAACTGATCTGCTTGCGTTCTGCTAGCAAGAAGCAACATGTCGTTGTCAGGCTGCACAGAGACAGGTAGGCATTCAGGACATCTGGATCATTGACGGTGTTGGTCTAAACGGTATGTCGCGCGCTGCTGAAGTGAGAAGTCGTCGGCCGCCAAGTTTTCCCGTGCTCACTGCTACGGGCTTCCCAGCCTGTATCGCGTCAGTGTGTGGCACCGTCCCAGCGTTGTCGCGTCGTCGCCCCAGCTCGTCGACATCACCGAAGAGGCGTTTGTCGTAGTCCATGTGCGCCAGATCACAGCGATTGCCATCAATGCGCGTCGAGATGAGACCATTGAATCCTTGTAGAGGGCGTGAGGAAAACCGTTCATATTGTGAGTAGGAGAATCCCCTTGCATCCAGTCACACTCGATGTCTGTGCGGAGGAACGCTCTGGCTTTGATCTACAATTTGAGACCTTTTCTGGCGAGATACCATAGCTCGAACGGAAATACGAAGCTCACACTCATCGACCGCGAAACATACGTGTTGTCCTACAAAAGAGGGCACCTGAATATATTAGCTTTCTATCGCGTAGGCAGCTGTACACTTCGAGACCGACAAGACCTGAGAGTTTAACATGGAGTGTCTAAGGCATGGTGTTCGTCTAGAAGGAGGCTTATGACAGTAGAGAGAAGAGACGCGTTATTCTGATCGGCCAAATACAGCGACGCCCCTATCCGCGAGGTTTCCTTCTTGCACTCACTCCACAAGACGTGGGTTTGTTCATCCACCACCACCACCACCACCACCACTCCAACAACAACACTGGTTCATTCTACCTCCTTTGCTACACTTGACACTTTGCAGATTACCTCTTGCCGCGGTCGGCCCATGGACCCATTGAGGAACGGCCGTGCCATGTGGAAATGTTTGTCGCCATCCATCATGATTCTTGGCCCGGGGTTGTCTTACTCTTAGGTCTACCATAACGTCCACAGGGCAAAGGCCGTTACACATCTCGTTCATGGACTGGACGAACGTTTCCTCTGTGGACCAGGACACGCGTGAACAAACGCTCCATCTGTTGCAGCATCTGCCCGATGCATGGCGTACCATTGGCACAGTCGCGCCCGATGTCGCTCCAATCGTCATGGACGTTCTGCAAGCTGTCTGTTTCCAACTACTCCTTCTATTCATACTAATTGACTACTGTTGAAGGAATTGGATCAAGCCGAGGCTCCAGACGACTATCGCTCGACGTGTCTGAGATGTCTACGAGTCCTGGGACGACGATACGACCTAGTGCCGACGTCGTTCTTCTGTCGAAATGTCAAACGCGAAGGGGACCATCCGATTTGGGGTGGAGGATTCGCGGTAAATTTTCAAGTGGGATTAGGGATCGACAA